TATATATATATATATATATATATATATATATATATATATATATATATCTGCAGTGTTTCCCCTACCATTATACAAGCGGGGTGCCCCACCCCGTCAACAGAACTGAGCACCCCGCCTACCAAGCTGAACTTGCCACCCCCACCCAGCTCTGACCTATCACTAAGGTAGCGGTGCAAAATACAGGCTCTCTAGCTAAAAAGCCCAAGGCAGCACTCGTATTGCCTCTTCCCTCATGTTGACCGCCCCCGCTCAAAAACTGTTGGGACAAGCTGCGCTCAGACATGTCTCCGTCCCCCCATCAGCACAAATCATGGATGAGATGAGCACCCCGCCATGGCAAGCTAACTAGGGGAAACACTGATATATACGGGGTCTGAAATGTTCATCTTGGGTGCATGTCCACTGTGAGACATAATCTAAAGAAAAAATCACAACGTTTGATTGTTTAATAATTTATTTGTGTGTTATTGCTGCAAATAAGTATTTGAACACCTGTGAAATCAATGTTAATATTTGGACCAGTCGTCTTTGTTTGCAGTGACAGAGGTCAAAGGTTTCCTGTAGTTCTTCACCAGGTTCACTGCAGCAGAGATTCTGGTCCAGTCCTCCACAGATCTTCTCTAGATCACCAGGTTTCTGGGCTGTCACTGAGAAACATGGAGTTTGAGCTCCCTCCAAAGATTTTCTACAGGGTTTAGGTCTGGAGACTGGCTGGTCCACTCCAGAACCTTGATCTGCTTCTTACAGAGCCACTCCTTGGTTCTCCTGGCTGTGAGCTTCAGGTCATTGTCATGTTGGAAGACTCAGCCATGACCCATCTTCAATGCTCTGAGGGAAGGAGGTTGTTCCCCAAAATCTCGAGTGCAGTCGTCCTGTCCATGTGCAGAAAAACACCCCCAAACCATGATGCTTCCACCCCCATGCTTCACAGTAGGGATATGATAACAGACAGACACACACTGAATTAGCTAAAACATTTGAGTTACAAATGGACTGAAAACCTGAACACTCTGCAGCAGTGCAGCACTCAACACACCGAGAGCTTCCCAAGCTTGGTCAGACACGCCCAAACATGACGACTTTAGTTTGTTCCGTCCGTGCAGGTAGGACATCCAATGTAAAATAAATAATAATAAACATACTGAAACTGACAAAAACAATAGGTTGACAACTTTGATCAAACAGGAAAACATAAACTTCAACAAACCTTTCAAACGGTTCAGGAATTCTAAAATAATGTGAAATAAATAATAAGAGGAAAAACAGTGGCGGCACCAGTTGGTTGTCAGATGTTTAAAATAAAGAGCAATCGGCTCCTGTCCTTATTGTCGCAGTACCCCATCAAGAACTATTTCATACCGATACTAATATTTGATCGGTGCGTCTCTACCGATACCTGATCAAGCTTGTTTTGTTTTTTCCTGACCTCTGTATCGATGCCAATACCAATATTTGATCGGTGCGTCTCTAGTAAAAACACATTGAAATGTAAAAACAAAAGTGTCCAAGTGTTTCTTGTTCTACTTGTCTTCACACAGTGAAGTGTCATGGACCTGAGGAGCTGAGAGGTGCCGTCTGCAGCTGGGGGGAGTTTTTGTGACTCGACAGTCACCAGAGAGGAGCGTGAGGGGCTCAGGCCGAGTGTGGACGGGCGGGGGTCGGAGGTCAGCTGGAGCCAATGCAGCAGCAGCACCGACAGCCTGAGCTGGTGGAAGGAAGCCTTCCTGTGTTCGTGTTCCCCACGGAGCTCGTCTTCTACGCCGACGAGCAGGCGTCTCACAAGCAGGTGCTCACCCTCTACAACCCCTATGAGTTCGCCCTCAAGTTCAAAGGTCAGGCAGCAGAGGTCTCATTGTATTTTGTAATAAAACGTTCAAGATTATTGACGTCCTTGTGTAACTGCTTCTTCTCCTGTCAGTGCTGTGCACGGCGCCAGGCAAATACTCCGTGGTTGATTCCACCGGAGCCGTCAAGCCACAGTGTTGTGTTGACATGTAAGTGTTTGTTGAGCTTGTTCATTCTATTGACAGTCGTGGGAATAGCCTGCCCCCCCCCCCCCCCCGCGCAGTTCTTTGGGTTTTACATATCAGGACAAAATGAAGACGATCTGAGCTTTTCTAATGACGTCCCACAGAGAGGAGTCTCTGGCGCGGCTTGTTTACCGGTGATGTTACGGTTCTTTTCTTGGTTTGAAGGTCATTTCTGGTTTTAGTCGTCGTCTAACTTCTGACGCCTCACGTCCTCCGAGTCCGACTGGACCTCCAGTCCTTTTCTTCTGACAGCCCTCACGGCCTGAGGACAACTGATGTTTTCAGAAGAAACTCAAGACTTACCTGTTCTGGTTGACTTCACTGGATTCTTGGTTTTATTTTATTTGTTTACTTTTTTAGTCCAGTAACTCTTTGTAGTTTTATTGTACATCTAGTTTGACTTGAAGTACTTGTTACCAAATGTACATGACTATAATTTCTTATTTGACAGTCCTCAGTACTTCTAGATTCATTTATTTTTCCTCTTATTTAATGTTTTTTATTAGTTTTGTTTTTGTTAATGTATTTTGCACAAACAAGAACAAAGAGCATCATGTTTGCATCATATCAGCACAAGCACAGCGTGCTGTCAGCACGGTGGTGGAGGGATCATGATTGCAGCTGCAGGACCCGACCCTGACCTCTAGACAGTTTTTGAGTGAAAGGTGAGACCATCTCTGATGGTTGAGGTCTGGACTGAACTGGGTCATGATGCAGCAGAACAGCCGAAGAATCAAGGTGTTGTAATGGCTCAGCTAAAGTCCAGACCTCAAACGTGTTAAAATGCTGTTATGGGACCAGGAAGGATCTGCAAAGAACTAAAGCACTGTTGTAAAGAAGAGTGGGCCCAGACTGATGAAGTGTAACGGAGCGCTGCTGAAGGAGCTGCTGACATCATCACTGTTAACCCTGGGCAAGACCAGATCACTTTAATTACATCCTGCAGTAAAACCTCAACGCTGACGGGGTGCATTTTCTTTTCCTCACATCTTTAAGTTCAACTTTGTGGAGGATTTTGTTGGAAGATCTATGGATGGATTTGATGGATGTTGAACAAAGTATCTTTACAGTTTTCACTTTCCGTGTCCACACAGAGTTATCCGACACAGGGACGTGCGGGCCTGCCATTATGGCGTGTACGACAAGTTCCGGCTGCAAGTGTCGGAGCAGAGCCAGCGGAAAGCTCTGGGTCGTAAAGAGGTGACGGCCACGCTTCGCCCGTCGGCCTCGCAGGAGCCGTCCAGCTCTCGACTCCAGGACGAGGAGCGCAGAACTAAAGAGCAGCTGGCCGACAGCGAGTTCTTCGAGCAGACTGCATTTCAGACAGGTAGGAGGGTTAGTGACGTCACCACTAGATGGCGCCACCACATTCTGCTTGTTGTTTGTGGAGACACGTGGGGGGCTCCAGCTCTGGACCAGTGGGTCAAATAAAACCACTAATGGTTGTTTGACTTGTATCCTGAGACCTCAGGTCACGGTGCAAGAGCTGAAATCTGTTGGTGTTCAAACTTCAGCATGTTGCTCCTTTTCTCTTTTCAAAAGTGTAAAAAAATAACAGCTAAAATACCATTACTGTTGCTTAAAACAGCTAAAGGACTGCTGATCACTCGCCCGAGTTCATGCCAGAGTTTTACAGAAGGTTATAAAAAATGCTGAGAAACGTGTGATCAAACCTTGTAGGTGATCTTACGCAGCCACGTTGACGGGCCTGAAGGTGCTCGAGTGCGTGTTGACGAAGACGTTCGGCTACTACCAAGTCAAACTTTAGCTCAATATACGTCTTAAGCAACAATTTAGTCATTTCTGTGTTTGCTAAGGTTGATCAGCTGTGCTGGACATCGTGACTTTAACATTAATTAGTTGTGGACGTACATCTTTTTCAAATTTTCATTCAAGTCCATCCTGCGATTCGAGATATTTCGCTAACAGACGGAGTTGTCTCCTTTAGTTAATGGGAGTTAAAACCATACCCGCTAGCACTCGGAGCATGTTTTGTGGATGATGCTCAGCTACTACTCCCCAAACTTCAGCTCAGCATCTGTCAAACTGACAGCTGTGGCCGTTTTGATGTGACGGCCATCTTGAATGGGGCGGACTCCAAAAGTGAACGAGTGATTAATTTCTGAGTTTCAACAGCATCCATGTTCATGAGATCTGTTTCTGTTCAGTTATTGGTCTGATTGCAAGGTGTGTCTGTGTGGGGGGGGTCACAGAGAGCCGTCCGGCCGCAGGAGGACCCAGTCTGCTCACGGTGCTGCTGGGACTCGTGTGCATGGCTGCCCTGATGCTCCCCACGCTGGGGGAGCAGGAATCCACTGTGCCTGTCTACCTCCACTTAAGTGTTAACAAGAAACTGGTAGCTGCTTATGTTCTGGGTAAGTGGAAGAACACCGCACTAACCGGTGCGTGTCCGGTCCGTTTGTGAAGAAACGTCTCAACAAGCAGCCGTTTGTTGTGCTTCTAGGTCTTCTCACCATGGTCATCCTACGTACATGAAGTTCTCTGAGCTGAAGGAGGATCAACCCTGAAGGATGAAGAACGTCGTCGAACCAGAGGCACTACTTCATGCTTCCACGAGTAGAACTGACGGCCGGGGGGGGTCACAAGCCACCTGAGAGTCCTCTGATATTTCCACCTTTGTTTTAGTAAAACCTTCAGTTTCACACAGGTGTTTTGTTGCCTGCGGTTTGTGCTGCAGGTCGGAGGACGTCTCTGAGGAAACTCGGGGCCGGTCGGCGTCGACTAGCTTCACGTTGTCTGTATTTCATTCACCTTGATGTGACAGAGTGTGTTCGAGTCAGGCACGAAGGAACAGTCAACATGCAGCCATTCAAACACCGTCCTGGTATTCACCTGTAACCGTCATTATAATGATGTTCTCTGAAAGCTTTCATAAAGCAGACTGAACGATGGCTTTCTGTTTCTTCTTCCAACAAACCTTTTCCACGTCACAAAACTCAGATCTTCACTAAACTTTGATGGAATATTAGTAAATGGACGGTACTTATAGAACACCTTTCTATTTAATGAAGCTCCTCAAAGCTCTTTACAACAATCTGTGCCTCATTTACCTCCAACACACATTCATACAGCAAAGATGTGAACAACTCATTGTAAAGAGACTAATCAGAGCTTCACATCACATTCAGACACTGATGGGACGCACATCAGAGGCACCAAGGGGTTCAGTGTCTTGCCCAGGGACATTTCAACATGTGACAGCTGGTGGAATTGAACCAACTCTTCCATTGGAGGACGACTGCTCTAACCACTCAGCCACAGCCGCTCAAAGTGCCTCATCCAGACTGTAAGTCTTAATACAGCTGTACTGTAAAATATCTGCAAGTAGGGTTTGGTCCAAAACAAAACCATGACCCTTGTTGGTGCTGGCTTCAGTATCTAAAAGGGGACCGGTTCCACGAACCGTTACTACTGGAAAAGATCGTGCCGAGTCGAGTTGAACTGTGCTGTACCATTAAAGGGCATAACTCAGTGCTGTTCTGAATTTTGCACAAGAACAGCACTGAGTTACACCAACAAGGGTCACGGGGCGGGGGTAGAAAAGTGTACAATCATATGAAGGTTAACATTTCTGTGCTTTTTTCTGCACGGTTTCACACGAGCACGCAGGAGTATCACCGAGCGAGCAGCTTACCTGAACACTGAGCACAGACGGCTGAAACTCATCGTGCTCACTGCTCGTGGGACGTTCAATGCGCTCATGGTCACTGAAGTGTGCGTGCATGGGAGGTTCAGTGTGCGCGTGGAGCGTACGCTCGTGTTGGACTTGATGCGCGTGCGTGGCGTATGACACGCTCGTCGTGGACCTTTTGGCGTAAATGTGAGGGAAGCGGACACCCCACCCACATGAAAACTTCCAGCAAATGGAACGAGTGCTTAGTAATCTGTTTGTGCTGCTTTGGTTTCTGAGATACTAAAAATTATTTTTCAGGTCATCCAGCAGGTCACCATCCCCCCATCTTGCTCCAAACCAAACTGGTCTACTTTTTTAGTGTTTCGTTTGTGCCGTGAAAACAGTCATTTGTGCAGCTTTTGTTTATGACATATTAGAAGTTGTAATTTTGGCCGATCACGTCACCATCCCCCCTCCCATCCGTCAAGCTGACGGAGCACTAACCACTCCTTCTATTTGCTGGAGTTTTTCACGTGGGTGGTGTCGGCTTCACTCAGCTGATCTGATCCCACATGATTTAAAATGTGACAGAATCTGACACTACAGGTGCTGGTCATAAAATTAGAATATACTTCACCACTTGCTCTTGTCGAGGTTGGATGCTTTTCCCCTCCCTTTCCTGCTCTGTCTGTCTGTGAAACTGCTTCTGAACCTCTCATATGCATATCCAAACCATAATTATGGACTCCCAATTCCTACATGTGTCCAGCTTCACTACTTTTTGTCTGTCTAAACAGATCTCACTTGTAAATGAGTCTTCTAGGCTCAATGTGACTCATCTGTCTAAATAAAGATTGAATGAAAAATATCATGAAAAGTTGATTTATTTCAGTAATTCCATTAAAAAAGTGAAACTTGTATATTCTATCCATTCATTACACACAGACTGATATATTTCAAATGTTTTTCTTTTAATGTTGATGATTATAACTGAAAACCCCAAATTCAGTATCTCAGAAAATTATTTTACTTAAGACCAATTAAAAAAAAGGATTTTTAGAAATGTTGGCCAACTGAAAAGTATGAACATGAAAAGTATGAACATGAACAGTATGAACATGTTCAGCATCAATACTTAGTTGTTGCTACTTTTGCCTGGGTTACTGCATCAATGTGGTGTGGCATGGAGTGGATCAGTCTGTGTCTCTGCCCAGGTTGTTCTGATCGTGGCCTTCAGCTCTTCTGAATTGTTGGCTCTGGTGTATCACATCTTCCTCTTCACAATATTACATACATTTTCTATGGGGTTAAGGTCAGACGAGTTTTCTGGCCAATTGAGAACAGGGATACCATGGTCCTTAAACCAGGTACTGGTAGCTTTGGCACTGTGTGCAGGTGCCAAGTCCTGTTGGAAAATGAAATCTGCATCTCCTTAAAGTTGGTCATCAGCAGGAAACATGAAGTCTCTAAAACTTCCTGGTAGACGTCTGCGTTGATTGTAGACCTCAAACACAGTGGACCAACACCAGCAGATGACATGGCACCCCAAACCATCACTGACTGTGGAAACTTGACACTGGACCTCAAGCAACGTGGATTCTGTGCCTCTCCTCTCTTCCTCCAGACTCTGGGACCTTGATTTCCAAAGAAAATGCAAAATTACTTTCATCAGAGAACTTAACTTTGGACCACTCAGCAGCAGTCCCAGGAGAGATGCTTCTGACACTGTCTCTTGTTCAAGAGTGGCTTGACACATGGAATGCAACAGCTGAAACCAATGTCTTGCATACGTCTGTGTGTGGTGGTTCTTGAAGCACTGACTCCAGCTGCAGTCCAGTCTTTGTGAATCTCCCCCACATTTTGGGATGGGAATGGGTTTTGTTTCACAATCCTCTCCAGGGTGCAGTTATCTCTGTTGCTTGTACACTTTTTTCCTACCACATCGTTTCCTTCCCTTCACCTCTCTATGAATGTGCTTGGACACAGAACTCTATGAACAGCCAGCCTCTTTACCAATGACCTTTTCTGTGTTGCCGTCCTTGTGCAAGGTGTCAGTGGTCATCTTTTGGACAACTGTCCAGTCAGCAGTCTTCCCCATGATTGTGTAGCTACAGAACTAGACTGAGACCATTTAAAGGTATTTGCAGGTGTTTTGAGTTAATTAGCAGATTAGACTGTGGCACCAGGTGTCTTCAATGTTGAAGCTTTTCACAATATTCTAATTTTCTGAGATACTGAATTTGTGGTTTTCATTAGTTGTCAGTTATAATCATCAACATTAAAAGAAATAAACATTTGAAATATATCAGTCTGTGTTTAATGAATGAATATAATTTACAAGTTTCACTTTTTGAATGGAATTACTGAAATAAATCAACTTTTTCATGATATTCTTATTTTATGACCAGCACCTGTATTTTCAGGAATACAAGCAGTCCAACAATGTTCAGTCACGTCATCTGGACATATATTTTTTGCTGAGACGTTTCATCCTTCATCCAAAGGATTTCTTCTATCTGAGGAAACATCATCCATCCATTCGTTATCTTTACCCGCTTATTCCATTTTGGGTCACGGGGGTCGCCGGTGCCCATGTCCAGCAATCACTGTGCGAGGGGCGGGGCATACCCTGGACAAGTCTCCAGTCCATCACAGGGACACACAGAGACAAACGAGACAAACAACCATTCACTCTCTCTCTCTCTCTCACTTAGGGACAATTTAGAGTTACCAATCAGCCTAACATGCATGTTTTTGGTCTGTGGGAGGAAACAGGAGCACCCGGAGAAAACCCACGCATGCACGGAGAGAACATGCAAACTCCACCCAGAAAGATCCCTGAACCGGGGTTTGAACCAGGGACCTGCTCGCTGAGAGGCAGCAGCTCTACCAGTTGCGCCACCGTGCTGCCCAAGGAGACACCAAACAAAACTAATTCCCACAAACCACATACTCCATAGTGGAAAAAAACTGTTTGCTGGTGCTAAGATGGCCTCGGGGGCCCGCCTGCTCCCCCGTCAAATCCTCTGAGACTGTCATGCCAAAGTGGTTCAAAACACCAAAGTTCATGCTCAGTAATCCAGGTACAAATCCAACAACATTCAGTCTGGTCATGTGGATGGTTTCTATTTTGCTGAGATGTTTCTTCCTTCATCCAAAGGATTTGTTCAATCTGAGGAGCGACGAGACAATCTGACTTCCACAAACATGCCCCACAACCACAACAGCCGGTCTCTTGATTTCTTACACTAACAAGTCATTTTCTACAACTTTTGAGTCCCTACTACTGATGCATGAAGTTTTCTCAACCAGTGAGAGACGAACAGTAAACTGTGATCGTGACGTCAGCTGTCGATAACGGAAAAGTTGTAATAATGGCAACATGTCTTAAAAACATACCAAATGTATGGGGGCAGCCATGATTGAGTAACATAAGAACAATCTGCAGTGTTTATATTTTATAAGATCCTTTGACTCAGAATCTGATGAGTGGCTAGTTGCCATGGTGATTCCCCCTTTTCTGCAGCACAGGGGGAGGAGTCAGCCTACAGCGCACTTTCATTAAATTGAAAAAGTAGAAACTGAACCAAAACTAATGTGTATAAAGCTTGATGTGATGGGGTGTAAGAAAATGTTACGATCTTTCACAGCTCTGGTACGGTGGAAGTCACGAGAGTTTACACTGTGGAGTTTCAAATAAAAACTTTGAAGTGAGAGAAACCCTGGGGGGGGGGATAAAATACTTAGATTTTGATCCATAAACTGAGGTGGTTGTATGAAAGTTTTGAAATGTTAAGCAACTCAAAGTTAAAATGTGCTCTTAGGTTTAATGTTCCACGGCATTTTAAACATCTCAAAATCCCATTCGGTTATTTTCAGTCCAACCCTCTGTGGGTCGACGGGCCTCCAGAGGGTTGAGCTTTGGGTCTTTCTGAATTTTGTCTTCTGCTTACAGAAGATGGTTCAGTTTCCAGCTACACCAAATTTAGCTAAATGTCTAAAACGTTGTTACAGCTTTTTCGGCCATATTTTAAATAAATGAAGCTCTTAATCCTCCAAACCACTCCTTTCTGTTGACGTCAGCTTTTTGTTCTTTTTCAGCTTCTTTCTGCTGAATTCAGCTTTTTCTGCACATAAAGGCGTTTTCTACTGCTTTCCGTTTGGTTTTCCTTTCAGTAAATAATAGCTGCTCAAATTAAACCCCAACCATTTAGCCATAAAACATGCTCAGCATATTTTCAGCTTTAGCAGTTTTCAGCAATAAGCACTCACACTGCATTTTCACAGGAAATTACATTTATCTAGTTTCCTTCAGAGTTTCAAAATAAAATCTGACATATGCTATTTTGCTAACAGACAAACAGGTAAAAACACTGCCCGCCTGCCACACAAGCCTAATAATTTATTCAGCCCCGATGTCCGCTGACAAACATCACGAGCATCAGGCGAAGAGTTGGCCGGTTGCACATGTAACGGACACGGTACAGCAACACGTCAAGTTCATGCCCTGAACACTCAGTAAAACTGTTGCAACAACAAAACCACCGACAGCAGCTGCTTCAGCCGTGGCCTTAAACTAAAAAGAAACATTCAATACAGCAAATGCAAACTGGTCTTTTAAATTAAAGGGAACACTTCCATAAAATGATTTACAATCTTTTCTTTTTGTACAGACGTGTAGGACTGCGGGGGGCTCGAACACAGAGGGTGGGAGCTGTAGGATCAAACGTCACAGTGCCGGCTGGTTTCATTTGTTCCTCCTCAAGAGAACAAGTTTGATTGGTCTGCTGCTGGAGACTCGGCAGCAGCAGCAGCAGCAGCATCCTGTGCAACCAGAGCAGCTGAACTCTTACTGGGATGCTGCGCTTTCACCCGCTCCTTTCAGCTGAATCCGTCCGGATTAACTCTAATTATTTAGTCTCACTGGAAATAGACACCGATCACCATCCAGTTATAGATATATACACATTTTTCATAAATTTTTATAAATACCACTTTGTTAGAAGAAACAAGTAACCGTTTTACTTTTCACATCTACAGAACCTCTTCTGACAGAACCACAGGATACTTTAGTGTGGAACCAGGAATGACTCGTTTCATCCAGGGTTTCCTGCTTGGGCCACTCGAGGGATCGTTGCAGGAGCAGCAAGTCATGGAACATCTGAGGAAAACGAACCACAGCTCACAGTCTAAACCAGAGGAACATCCCAGGCTTCTTGCAGTCACACAGGAAGTTGTACCTCAGAAGTATCGTCCTCTGCTTTAGTGGACCTCTGCGCCTACATTCACCTCACTCATAAATGTAAAACTATACGACATCGGGGTGTATGTACATATTTACAAACCAAGCAGGGAGAAATAAAATAAGTTAAATATTTTCTTACAAAAATCTGCAAACATACAAAGAAGCTTTCCAGCATGGAAACAGGAAAATGTACACAACAGTCTGTCCAGTGCTCAGTGTCCCACACAACCATCACACAGCAGCCAAGCACCATCCAAGATGGCCGACTAGCAGCCGGTGCTCACAGTGTCTTTAGTCGGGTTTGCTCACACGAGGCCGGGGCATGAGGGCTCCTCGCCCAAACATTTCCAGACCCTCGGTGAAAACAGTGGTTCAGAGGCCGACATCAGGAACTCCACGTAAACTACAAGTTTAAGGAACTGGTTTTTCCTGCGGGTTCAAGTCTCTCCAGCTCATGTTCGCTTTGGAGACAAATCCTGAAGCGAGGCGAAGGGCGAGTTGCTGGAGGATGAAGGTGACACGCCTTCCATTTTGCTGGGGGAGTCGGTGGACGAGCAGGCGCTGCTGAGGCTGCCGTCGAGTAAATCTGGAGAGTGACTGAAGAGGAGAGACAAACATCAGGAGCCGTTTATGATATTCACTTCTTTCAATTTCCAAGAACTACAAACATATGAAGTTACTGTTTTCTAAATATTCAGTTTATAATGTTTTGGGTTGGACAGTGAAGCTGGTGCATAAAGTACTTCTGCATCTGTGCTCAAAGCCATGACCGCTCCCAAAATACACTAGTTCACTAAAGTTTTTCATCTGAATATGCGTATTAGTTATGATATAAATAACCACTAAACATACGTAATTCATTACCATATAATTTGCAATAAATAAGTAAATCAGCAAAATCATTGTCAATAAAGTAATTTCTTTACATTTTAAGTACTGCAGTAGAAAACTGGCCGGCTGCAGAGTCAGAGAGGTCTTCACTTCTGAAGACCACCAGTGCACCACCAGTGCACCACCAGTGCACCACCAGTGTACCACCGGTGCACCACCAGTGCACCACCGGTGCACCACCGGTGCACCACCGGTGCTGCACCACCAGTGCATTACCAGTGTACCACCAGTGTACCACCAGTGTACCACCAGTGTACCACCAGTGCACCACCGGTGCACCACCGGTGTACCACCAGTGCACCACCGGTGCACCACCGGTGCACCACCAGTGTACCACCGGTGCACCACCAGTGTACCACCGGTGCACCACCAGTGTACAACCGGTGCACCACCGGTGCACCACCAGTGCACCACCGGTGCACCACCAGTGCACCACCGGTGTACCACCAGTGTACCACCAGTGTACCACCGGTGCACCACCAGTGTACAACCGGTGCACCACCAGTGCACCACCAGTGCACCACCAGTGGCCTCGACCACCACAGTCATCTTCACTCACGCCAGTTATTTGAGGAAACCATTAGAGATGCACGATATTGGAGTTTAGGTCGATATCCGATACCAGTCCCGATATTTCCCCCCTACACCTACTCACAGAGACTACACGTGTTTGTCTGCTGTGGAATCAAACTACTACATTCTTCTTCATCATGGTCTTCGTCAGTGTGGCCCGCTGCCAAATGCAGATTCCAAAAATGGATCTGAACATGACGCAACACTTCAACTTGGATTATGTTTAATGTCAAATGTATTCTTGACATTTACTCTCCAACACAACGACAACACTCGGTGCACATTTGTACATTTTCACTAAACTCCACCTGCTCAATAAGTAACGGTGCATTAATAGATACACTTTACAGTCACTTAAATTAAGAATTAACTTGAAACAGAAGCCTTTTATATCGGTGAGTTACTTTGATGGAATGGCCGATATTTAACTTTATCGCTACCATCAGTCGATACGGATACCATGCTGATAATATCGTGCGTCCGTAGAAACTATACATTTAAGGCAAACAAAAACTAGAAAGCAGCGTGTTCCAATGACGGGGACGATCGGTTTACATATAAACATGGTGGCAGCCATAGTGGATTTGAATGTGGAAACCTGACGGTGAGCTTTTCTACACCAACATGAAGCCTCACATCAAAATACAAGTCACCGCCATGTTGCTTATTTTCCAAGTTGTCCAAGTCACAAGGTTTAAATACATATACGGTGGCAGACATCTTAGATTTTGACGTGGCAGCCCAATTTTTGAAAGAACCTTTTTCACACCAAAATGGACGTCAGTGTTTCACTTATGTTTGAAGTTATGCACACAACATGCACGCACAGAGGTGCACATGTGCGTACAATGATTACTTTGAGAGTTTTGTTAATTTGGGTGAGTGGTTCGTGAAATATTAGACATATACACCTGCACATGCAAACACACTGAGATAAGGCCAAAAAATAAATTGTCCTCATTTATCATTTAGCAACAGGCAAGAAAAATAGTTTAGAACAGACCAGGTTGTCAAGGATAAATAATTATTAAACAGGTCACGGTCTACAATTACTATAAAACTATAAGCACGTTTTAAGCTTTTTTAAAAAACATTTAATAAACCTGTTCCTCTAATGTCCAATTAATTACAATGGCCCCCACAGCACAGCTCCAGGATCATTCAGGGGCACGAACTCCTCCACACCATGAGGTGGAGACTCAAGGAGGAGGGAAAAGGCTTTAACATAAAGTGTGAATACTGTCCACATGTTCTGTATTAACATCCACCATCATTGAAGGTGGACATCATTTAATTTAATGTGTTCTTTGTTTGCAACATCTGGATTCAAGATGGATGCCACAGCTAACCAACCTTAGCTAATATAAAAATAGCTATACCCGAGTTATTTTAACAGACAGAGCTCAAACCAAGTGTGGAAGTAGCTGAAAGTCATTGGCAGCACGTGCTCTGAGAGGCCTGGCTGACATCAGGGACTGGATGGATTTAAACTTCTTGAGTTTCAATGAAAAAAAGTCTGAAGTCATGTTGTTCCCTCCCAACGACACGATCACAAACCACTGCATCGACCTTTCCGCTCTAACCCTGTCAGAA